ACGTTCCTAAAGACAAGAAAAAACTCTTTCTCCAACTTACCTTTATAACCCAAGCCAAAAAACAAGTCCAGGAAGGCGTTCCTCTAAAGAAAAGAAGTAAAAGGAACGTTAATTACGTTCTTAAAGACAAGAAAAAATAAAAAAACTCTTCCTCCAACTTACCTTTATAATCCAAGCTGAAAAAAAAGTCCAGGAAGACGTCCCTTAAAGAAAAGAAGTAAAGGAACGTTAATGATGTTCCTAATGACAAAAAAAAATGAAAACCTCTATTATTAACTTACCTTCAATAGCCCAAGCTGAAAACCGGGTTCAGGAAGGCGTCCCCTAAAGAAAAGAAGCAAAAGGAACGTTAATGACATTCCCAAGACAAAAGAAAAAAGAAATTTACGCTTACCTTTTGAAATCCAAGCCATCCAAGTCGTTCTGAAGTCCAAGTTCAAGTTCAAAGTGTTTTTTTTTTAAAAAAAAAAAATAATAATAATGAAAAAAAATAGTATAAATTTGACCGGATTGGACCAGATTATCTGATCAATCTGGTCAATCTGGTTATCCATGTAACATCCGATCAATCCGATATCATCCAACAGATCCATCCGGATTATTCGCAATCCGTTCATTCTTAATCCGGATGATCCATTTTTTGATCAGATCGGATGATGGATTGAACGGATTTCACTGGAGCACACCTCTACTTTAAAGTATGATAAAGAGCTGCAATTAATACTTTAATTTTTACAAAAAATTCAATTTAAAAATACCTGGCTTGTAGCCTTGCCGTATCAACCAAATTTTCATGTACTTCGATCACAAGTTTCTCGTCTCTTTTTTCGATAATTTCATCAACATCATTATTCTTTATATCTTCCAATTCATTCAAAGAATTTGATATTCCACATTTTTTAAAAGACTGAATAATTACTTCGTCAGAGATGTTGTCCTACGAACGTTTTACCCACCCACAAACTTTACTCAATCTAGCACGTCACAGGTTTCCAGCCGCGGTTTGTCCAGCACCACCATTTGCTATCCATAGGTGCCACTCCCTACGAAGATTGTCTTTAAACGGCTTGTTTATTGCTACATCCAGAGGTTGACAAATACTTGTCAATCCTCCTGGAATCACCGCTAAGTTGAAACCATTTTCACGAAACTTCTTTTTCACAGACTCTTCTAAATGCTCCCTAAAGGAATCGTATACCATCATTTTCAGAAGTTCGGGTTCATCAACTTCCTCAACAAGGTAATCAATATAATTTTTCATTATATTTGCATCCATCCAACCGTTCTCTTGAAACCAAACTATAACGCCATCAGGAAATTGTTCACCACGAGGTTTCTTCTTTTTTTTAAAAATACAGATCAGAGGTAACTTGCTTCCATCTGTAATGAAGAATTAATCATTAACCAGCACAATCCTTTGATTTTACTGACAATTTAAGAGAATCTTTTAAATTTTCGTGTAAAATCAGGTAAAAAAAATGAAACTTGCCGGCAGCGCAAGTTAAGACAACGGTAAAGCGATTTTTTTTGTTACTTGTTCTGTGAATATGAACCGTCTTGTCACCTATTACGTTAATAGTGAAATTTCCCGCCATGTCGAACCAAACTGGAGTCTCGTCCATATTGAAAATATTACTAAATTCGAAAGACTTTTGAATTCTAAGACAAGTGATGAATTGCTGAAATTTTTCCAATGATTCTTCGGTTTGCTTCAGAAGTTTTTGGGAGATTTTTGTACGTCAACGCAAAGACAATTTGTACCTTTTCATGAACAAGGTTAACCAACGAAATGATGCCTTAAACTTTTCTGTAGAATTACCGTAAAGCGCAATCATTTCTGGTTCTTCTAAAATGTCAAACATGGTAAATTTTGCAGTTGTATAGGTCATGGCTAATCCCTGCATTCGCTGTTCAATAATCCAGTTATATAATTTCTTTTCGGTTTCAGGATAAAAAGCTTTTTGGCCAGAACCAACTTTCATGGTGTATCTCCTTGTCTCGGTTGTCCACTTTTCGCTAGCTTTGATCTAACGACCAATCATACTACCGTTAAGTAGAAAATGCCTTGCCGCTTCATTTCTTCCATTTGACTTAGCGTAAGCTACAACTTGTTTTTTCTGCTCGATAGAGTATGAACTGCGTTTACTTGTGAAAGCTTTTTTACGTTTAGATTGTCTACGTTTGGCGGTTAGTTTAGCTTGTTCATATTTGGCGGCTAATCTAACTCGTCTACGTTTTACGGCTAGTTTATCTTGTTCATATTTGGCGGCTTGTCTAACTCGTCTATGTTTGGTGATTTTAGCAACCATGATTTTAATAGGTATGCGTCGTCTCGCATTACGAGAAGTACCAGGAGCAACGCGAGTATCATACCGTATTTAATTTGTTGTACAAACGATCATGGTTACTAGCACAAGAAAAGTACCCCAAAACTAAGCACCCTCATAGCAAAAAAATATGCTTATTTACCGCCAAATACAGTATTTGTGGAATTGCAGATAATTGCGGATTTGCAGATCTGCAGATTTTTAGATTTAAAAATCTGCAATGTTCTGCAATACTGTAAATTACAATTATTCCGCAATTACATATTTGCAGCACCATCCTTAATATGGAGTATATAAAAAAGAAATATTGTATAGAATGATATATACATTGTAACCATAGATATTGAACTTAATGGAATAGATAAATAATATATCGAATAAAAGATTACATGGTAGAAAGTCACATAATCGGATAAATAATTAGCCAGAAAGGATAAATGTTTAGGAGAAGAAATGGTCTACATGATGTAATGTTTATTAAATGATTAACGACGAACCAGTAGATCAATCAAGAGGGTCGATCGATGCGGTTTAGCAACCAGTTTATCAAGTTCATCAACAGAAATAATTAGGAGGAGTAACTATAAGCTACAAAAGATAGATTATGGAAATAACATATAAAATGAGACAATAGCGAATTAAAATTGAATTTAATGAAAATACATAAAATATTGAAAAACAAAGGATAATATAAAAGATAATACAAAAGATAATATAAAAGATAATATGAAAAGATGATACAGAAAAACATTATTTCTTTACGATATAATATTTGAAAGATTATGTTATTTTAAAGAAAAGATAGCACAGCCATAAAGATGGGTTATAAATTATTTCTTTACAATGTAATATTTGAAAGATAAAAAAGATAACATATAAAATAGTATATAAAATAGTATATTAAAAATAACATATTAAAAAGATAGCATATTAAAAATAGTATATCAAAAAGATAGCATATAAAAGATAGTACATAAAAGATAGTACATAAAAGATAACACATAACATAAAATATTAGAAAGAAATAAGAAGTAAGAAAAGAAATAATAAGAAAGTTGGTTTAAATAGGAGCGAAATGGGAAGTGAATTCCACAGTCATCAGTGAGGATTTTGAATTTTAAGTAATTAGATTAGTTGTGAATTTTATGAAGATCAAAATATAAATAAAATACTTTTTACACATAATTAATTATTATCGACTCTTTTATACTGTTTTCTTATGATGAAAAAGTATGTTAAATAATGAATTCCTTTACCATTTGATATATGAGAAACGCACGAACATGGTAGTTCGATTAGTCGGAATGTACACAATCATATGGATGAAGGGTTCATAAATGTTTGTAAAAACGTTAATTATTAAAAGTTATTTTGAATATTCTTATGGTTCGCCTAAGTTTTAATTAATGTTAAATAAGTATTAAAATAATGGAATGAATATGAATATAAAGAATTAAGGAGTCCCAAGTGTGACTCGTATTATTTTGAGAAACCCGAGTGTGGTTTATTGAGAAGCCTAAGTGTGGCTTGTATATTAAGAAAGTCCGAGACTAGTGACTTTAAAGCCCAAGTGTGGCTAATGTATATTGAGAAGTCTGTGTGTGACTTAGAAAATGATGAAAATTGAGTTAAAGATTTAAAACTAAACCAAGCAAGAATATTAATGTTTTGCTGAGAGTACATATAACAGAAGCAGGAAACTTTGTTTACCGCTGGGTAGCAGACAGGGATAACAACATATATATAAAAATAAACATATGCTTATATAAATCATATATAAAATTCTTTGCAAATTTTACTATAAAAGGAAATTTGTTATATTGTTATGATTTTTTCCTTTTTAGCTAATTAACCAATAGAATTTAAAAAAAAAGTAAGGTAAAAATTATTAGTAAAGAATCAATTTTCTATGGTGACCTTTATTATAAGTAAGCGAAATTCTAATATAGCAGATTGATATCCTATATGGATTTACCTTTCATCTTATAGCAATTATATATAGTATAATTTTTTATATATGCATTATTAGTGCTCCTAACAGATCGGTTCAGATTGGATTTAACTTAAATCTGATCTGATCTGATTTTTATTTTAATAGATCTGATCTGATCCGAATCTGATCAGATCTGGTTCAATTTGATCTGAATCTGGTTTAGATCCATTTGAATCCAATTTGAATCTGATCCGAATCTGATTCGGATCTGGTCCTTGTACTAAAAAAAGAAAAGGGAACGTTAATTACGTTCCCTTAAGTAAAAATAAAAAAAAAACTTAAAAAAAGAAACAAACTTACCATAGTTCGTTCTTTTTTTAAATTCTGGTCGTTAATGACTTCGTCCACGTCCAGGTTTCTTAAAAAAAAGAAAGGGAACGTTAATTACGTTTCCTTAAGTAAAAATAAAAAAAAACTTAAAAAAAGAAACAAACTTACCATAGTTCGTTCTTTTTTTAAATCCTGGTCGTTAATGGCTTCATCTACGTCCAGGTTTCCTAAAAATAAAAGAAAGGGAATTAATTACGTTCCCTTAAGTAAAAATAAAAAAAAACTTAAGTGACAGATCGGAACTCGATAGGATAAAATGATCGACAATCTATAATTAATTTTACGAGTTTCGTTATTAATAAAAAAACTTTTTTTGGAATTTCGGTTTCTTTGTTATAAAAACTTTTACAATGAGCAAAAAAAAACAGTATATAGTAACTCTTTTAGCTAAAGGAATTATTTCAGAAGACTTGCATTATGGAATATATGCACGAAATTGGTGGGAACCGTGCAAATTTAACGAAAACTGCATAAATCCAATACCTTATCGACTATTTATGTCTGTTAATTGTTGTCTTAACGGTAAGAACTTTGCAATAACAGTTCTTAATGATGAGCAAACACATAACCCATGTTTTCGTTGTATTTGTGATGGTAAAGATTCCGGAACTCAACTAACAGCTACTGCAGCTATTAATAACACGTATAGCCAAATTTTTAGTAATAAAACAAAATATTCAGGATTAGCTGTAATGGGATTTGATAATGAAGCAATTGTTCATGAGTTAGTAGCTGATATTTCATTTATTCCAATATTTATTCGCTTAGATCAGATATTAATTGTAGTTAGTAAAATTGGTGTTTCATCTCGTGAAGGATGTTATGGTGCTGGTCATGGATCTCTTTCTACACTTATAACAAAATATGCAGACAAACGTTCACTTTTTGTACAATCTATAGAAGATGAATGCAGTTTAGATATTTATAACGAAGGTATAAAATTATATCATAATAAGGATACTACACCTAATAAAATTTGGGAAACTATCGGTATTCTTAAAAAATATGATGGTGCGACTTTATTTGGAATTACTGATTATAACATTCAACAAATATTGACAGAATTGAATAAATTAGAAAAGAGTAAAAATTTAATTAATTGTACGAGTGATAATTGGAAAAACATTGATATATTGAATCTTATATTCGAACAAAATATAAAAAAACGTAAAATTGCCAACACATTTTCAAGTTGGTCAAAATTATTCACAAACTGGTACGATCAAACTAATACAATAATTCAATTTCCTACAATTTTATATCAGATTTATCCAAAAAATTATCAATTTCAAGAAAAAGAATTAGGTGCATGGCAAGCAATGTTTTGCGCTTCTGGTTGTATAAATATTACACCATTTATGAAAAAACGGCATTTGATTGAATTTTGGACAAAAGCACCAGATCCTTCATCTGATAGGGAAAATCTAGCAAAACTCTTTGAATCAGGAATGTTATTAGTAATAGAAAATAAATCTTTTTCTCAACCTGATAATGAAAGTGAAACATTTTGGAAAAGTTTACAAAAAGCTTTAGAAACAAATAAAAGAGGAATTGATGGAAATGTTAGGATTCTTTCAATAATTGCCGAAAATTTTACATACAAAAAACTCAAAGAAAAGTTTAAGGTAAAGATAAAATTCATATTGAATTCATTATAAAATAAATCTTAAAAAATCTAAATTATTACAGATAGGAAGTGATATAATTAATTCTGCACGAAAACATGCAAGACTTAATGGACCAGGTGCACCAAGCCTAATAAAGCCAAAAAGAATTGTTAAACGGATGTCTGAAATTAAAGAAAGACAATTTCTAATTTTTTTTCAGGATCGAAGTGTAGTTGCACAAAGTTCCTACCAGGTGGATAAAAATGGATCCCCAATATTATAT